CACAGCCCCCTTTTAGGGAAACCACTCCAAGCAGATTACTGTGCATGACATTTCTGTGACAGCCACGGGCCTACCCCACCAAACTCCCCAGACTGCTCAGATCAGAGATCACAGCATGAGCTCACAACCTCTACATAAGGTGGCACAAGACGGCCCAATTGTCTTTCTGTTTATAGTAATGGTAATTTAATAGCAATAGCAGCAGTCATGATTTATGGTAATAATTCGATGTCACACTTACCCAATCAGATTCCCTCTCTTAGCATATGAAAACCTAGAATCTTATTTCTTTTAGAATAAGATTCAAAGACCGGTTTAAAAAAAGTATGCACTAGCTGGGTAAGAATTCACAAAGAGAGAGAGAGAGAGAGAGAGAGAGAGAGAGAGAGAGAGAGAGAGAAGACCTGACTCTCTCTGCATGTAAAGTGATGGCATTTTGGAGCGGGGCTCTAATGAAACGTGTCTGTAAGCAGGACCTGAACATAAACAGAGCAGGTGAGCCCTTCCCCACGGGAAGGGAGCTGGGCAGTGTTTAGACAGCTAGTAACCCAGTTTCCATTCTAGGCCAGCTCCTATTCAGTGCTATGATCCCTATAGTCATCTGTAAATCTTTAGTGAAAGTTACACATAGCTGCCTTCCGTCAGTGATGCTTTGGAAAATGAAGAAAACCGTCAGTAAAAGGGACAGAGTGGGAAAGGCAGGAGGGCAGCCGCAAGAGGCCAAGTTGAGCTGGTTGACTAAGAAGCCAAAATTCACAGCAAGAAGCTATAAGAGATTATAAGGAGCTATGTCATGAATCCCCTTAGCTCTTCCGGGGAGCACCAGGCTGCCCACTGTAGACAGGAGAACAGCTCCAAGCCACTTTATCTGGTCATTAAATTATAAAGTGGCCTGCAGAAGGACCAAGCTCATAGGGCCATTGAGGTCAAGTTGACAGGCTTCTTCTCAGGCCTACTGACCTCAAACATGCACATTTTCAGATGGTTGTGAAGAGAGAAACTGATGGCTTGATTTAGCGATAACACAAGTTCTTCAAGCGACCAAATACGCGGAAAGAAACGTCGCCTCTACTTCCCTTCTCACCGTTTTGTTTCAAACCTGCATATTGTCGATCCACTGTAGGGTGCTGTTTTGCCTTTTTTTTTTTTCCTGCAAGGAAATTACAAAATTGTAGCTTGAAAAACAGTCATAAAGCTTTTCTATAATTACCAAGAAACCTATCAATTTTATAGACAACCCAATGGATAGCATTGGGGGTTTCTTTTCATTGCGTTTTTGGCTGTTTTTGTTGTTGTTTGTCTTTGTTTTTTGTTTTTTTTTCCTTTTTTCTGTCTGAAAACAGCACAGTTTAGAGTGATATTTTAATCTATTATTATGAAAGGGGCAGCAGCGACTGGTTTTTAATGGTTACAGAATGGTGACTTGCAACCCTGTCCCAGCTGCTGTCACCGCCGTGCTGGGAGCAGACTCGCAGCATCTTGTCTCGGGCACACATCAGTGCTCCTGCCTGCTGCCTCCCTCCCTCCCGGTGGACAGGCCGCCACCTGCTGCTGGCACAGCGCCGGCCCTTGGGGAACAAATGTTCTCCTGCTGCTGGGTGACAGGACAGGACAGACGCTGGATTTCCAGGGACCCAGGGAAAGGCGCCCTCGGGCCAGCTGCCCCTACTCCTCCACCCATCTGCCTCCTCTGCCTAGCGGAGACCTCACCACCCAGGGCCGTCGCCATCGGAGAAGGGGCTTTATGGTCAGACTGCGGTCTAGATCTTCGCCTCCTTTTCCCCACCCCTGTCCCTTAAGGCTACAGGGGCCATTTATTTATTCAGGCCACAAGCATTTATTGAGCCTGTGTTCCATGCCAGGCAATTTGCTAAGTGCTAGGAATATAGACTTGAATATCTCAATCCCTAACCTTGAGAAGGTCACAGTTTAGTAAGGTACACAAGACACACCAACCACTAAATTATGATATAGCCTTGAGACTGTAACAAGAGAGTTAAAAACCAAATGCACACAGAAGAGGCATTAAAGTATCATGTAGGCATGAAACAAACGGACTTTAGAGACTGTTAGGCCAGGGAAACCCCAGATTTGCCTCTTGCTGCCTGATTGACTTTGGACAATTTATTTAAGTTCTTTAATCCCAGTGGCTCATCCATAAAGGTTTATATAAGACAATGCAGCGAAGCATTTTAACATGGCATGTAGTAAAAGCAATCAATAAATATGGGCCGCTGCTATGCAGTGCAATTTGTGTCCAAATGCCTCTCCCAGAGAAGTAGGGTCCCAGTCACTGTCCTGGGAATTCTAGAAGCAGAGAAAGGATGGAGTGATGAGCCAGCTAGTGAACTTCAAAGCTTAGACCCAAAGAAAATCCTGAACAACCGTGTCTGAGGACAAGGCTGGAATATTAGACCAAGCTGGGAAATTCTCAGAGGAGGTGGCATGTCATCTGGGTCTTCTAAGAGGAGTAGGAGCTTCCCAGGAAGACGCCAGAAAGGGCTGTCCTCGAAGGGAAAACAGCACAGGCAAGGGCAGAGTGACACCCACAGGGAAGAGAGAGAAGAGAGAGCAGTTGGAATGTGGAGCGTGCAGAATCAAGGGGAAAGAGGTGAGGAAGGAAACAGGGAAGGAGCCGAGACATGGGGGACCTTGAGGGCCAGGCTAGGAAACCTAGTCTTACCCTGCAGTCCCGCCATGGGTGCGTAGGTTACCCACTGAACTCTTACCAAGGGCCAGTGCTCAGGCCACAACGCCGGTGACTTCTAGGTGATCGGTCTCCGGCAAGGCCCGACCATGGTGGTTTGTAGGTCTCCCCAGGTGACTCTAACGTGCAGCCAGGGTTGCAAACCACTGCTGCCAGCAATCAGGAGACAGTGGAGATTCGCCTTGCAGGCCCAGAATGCTGGGAAGTTAAGAGATTCATTTTATTTCAACAAACATTCTGAACACCGACTCGGTGCCCGGCCCTGTGCTAAGCTCTGTGACCATGGAGCTGAGTAAGTCAGGGCCCAGGGCGCTCTACTTAGCTCCTTAGAGTTTATGAATATGTTCACCTTCACTGTCTGACCCCACCTGGGAACCGAGAGGGAATGTGCTCGCAGTCCTTCAGGGGAAGCGGTGCACATCATCAGCTCGGTCACTGCGAGGCCACCCCGAGGGCTGGCGCTGGGCCGCAGTGGAGAAAATGAATTGAGCAATCTTCCATAGAGCAAAATCAATAGCATCAGGCCAGCCAGGCACACACGGGGGAGGGAGGAGGGGAGAGCAAGGGGGAGGGAAAGGGCTTGTGGGAGAAAACAAGGCCACCACGATGGAGAGAAGACAGAGGTGTCAGGGAGGGAGGGAGAAAAGGGGGGCCGAGGGGGATGCCGTGGTGGTTCCTGAGAGAGTTTGGACAAAACCACCGTACCCCTCTTGTCTTAAGCTCCCTCCACCACTCAGAGCCCAGAGAGTAGAGGAAGGTGATGTGAGAAGGTCTAAGGGAGGAACTAGCACTTCACAAGCTCCTGGCCTGTGCTAGGTGTTTTGCATACATTAATACAACGTAATCCTCACTCATCACTAATTTCTCTAAAGAAAAGCGAGAAATCCTACCAAACTCATGTGTGATAGAGCTATTTGTCCCCTCATAGGCTTAAAAGAGAAATGCACAGGAGAGTCACTTTATAAAAAAAAAAAAGCCACTTCAGAAATAATTATTTACCACCCTCAGTCCACATGCAACCCTTGTACAAGGCTCAGAGTAGGAAAGAACCTCACAGATCAGCTGGTGTAGATATGAGTGAGCCCAAACCAGGGGCCTCACGGGCCCACCTCGCTTCCAGAGAAGACCTTCGATCTCTGTGGAACACAAGCACTCAGGTTGTGTGAGGCAATGAACAAGAAAGGGAATGTCTAGCATGCAACTGCAAAGAAAATGTTTTAGAATCCCTAAGTGCAATATCCTAATGGGGGAGGCCCGTGAGAGGGACCGGGGCCTTCCGCACTGGGGCTGGGAGAGCCTGCAGGGTGGGGAATGAGCTCACTGCAACCTACCAGAGCAAGGAACAGGCCCCGTGAGAAAGCCTTCGGAGGGCGTGGGCTCCCGCTCTGACTCCCTCTGGGCCGTTCAGCTGCAAGGTCAGTGTCTTTGTGATTGCACAGACATACACCCAACTCAGACTAGCTTAGGCAAAGGGAGAATTTATTGGAAGGACACTGGGTTGTCTCACAGAGCTGGAAGCGCTGAACCAAACCGCAGGGACGTGAGGTTGTAGCTGGGCCTTGCAGCGGTTGAACCATACGGGCTTGTACCGTCTCTCTTCTGCCCCTCCCTGTTTTCACCACTGGTTTCTCTGTCTGTCACTACAGAATGCCTTCTGAGAGTGGAAAACACGGCCACGAACAGCTTCTGAGCCTCAGATTGCACCTCTAGAGACATTACTTTCCTCAGTTACCGTTTGAGAAATGCCATGGAAGGCTTCTATGAAGGATTCTGTTTGCTTCAGCTTGGGGTGGTGCCTATACCTGCACCAGTCAGCTGTGTCTGTTGGAGCAAAATTATGTCCCACAATATGGCAACCTAGCTGTGTCCGCAGGAAGCAGAGGTGTGGCGGATACTGCCAGGATAGGGGAGAGAACTTAGGATCCTGCACTTGATCTCATCAATAGAAAGAAGACCCTTCAACAATGGCAGAGGGAGGTTCAGAGGGTGGGAAGATTCTCAACACATATTATTCATGTGCAAGAACAATGTTCAATCCAGAGAGATGAATAAAACTCAGGCCTAAACCCTCAATGTGCTCACAAAGGTGGCAGATCATCGTGTCCCACTGGTGGTCAGCAATGGTCATGTGATGGTCTCATTACCAGTGGAAGGTGGTGTGCATCATTTCAAGACCTGCTCCCAAAAAGGTTCCTCATGCAATCCTCCATGTGCTTTGCCCTTTCCAGCTGAACGAAGTGCAGATGACCCCAGGTAGCCTGGGGGCTGTGTGTTTAAGATTGCAGAACCAACCATACTTACCTGGCAGGGGAGATACCATGATCACAGAGGTGGTTTCCCCAGGGCGAGGCTTCTCCATTGCTATTGGATGTGCTGACCCCGCAATTTCCCCAGATGTGGAAACTCCACTGCATAATTTGTGGTTGTGGGGGACTGCATTCGTGCTCTCCCCTTTAAAAAAAAAAAAAGATTGGAGACCACAGATGAAAGGAACCCAGCTCCCTGATGCACTGCCCGGAAGAGATCCCCCAATAACAAGCATGCACATTGGGCTTAGATTCACACACACAAAAAAACTGTTACAGTGTTAAGTATTAGTACTTGGAGATTTATTCATTATAGCTATTAGGCCTGCCTTGATTAATAAAGTTAGTAAACACTGCCTTCACTGGAATTAACCACTTTGAGACCCAGCTCTGTGACAAACTTGCTGGGTGACTTGGAGAAAAATCACTTTACCTCTCCAAGTCTCCCTGTTAATTACATCCACATTGCAAGACTTTTTTCATTAATGAATAGAGATAATGCATGTGAACAAATGCCAGTGTGAAATTACTCGATGATTCCGGGGTGGACTGTCACAAGCTTGCGTTGCTACTTCTCAAGTGTGCCAAGGCTCAATTCTGGTAGCTTATGAAGCTTTCAAGTTTCTCACTGAAAGTCTCTTACTTCATAAAGGAGACAGTATAGGTTATAAGAACATAATTTTTCCATGGAACTCAATAAACATATTTTCACTTTGAATTGTTTTAAATGATTGGCCCTTAGACATTTTTTATTCCCTGAATTTGTCATCATTCGAACACGAATAGCTTGTTCACCACTGATATCATGAAGCTTCATTTATATCTTGAAGAAATCAAAGCTGAATTAAAGGTTTAAAAAAAGAAAAGAAAGAAATTGTGGCACTCCGAGTCTTGAACTGGAAATCTGTGCCTTCCCATCAGCATGCCCCACCCTCCTTTGTGATCCCCCTCTGCTGGGCATGGTGACTTCATAACTGCTGCTGCCACTATGTAGGCTCATGTGAGGCTATGGACAAGAGCCCAATCTCAGTTGATCCCTACCTTCATCCTCACCATTTTTTAAATAAAGATGCGTGCACCCTGTCACAATAACAGCCTCAAACTGTGCTCTTCTGAGCTCCCTAGGAGACTTTGGTGTTTGAGTTTTGGGGGAGTCTCCATGGCCGCTTTAACCATGGCAGCATGGGCTTTATCTGTTCTACGTATTGAGCTTCTGCATAAGATCTCCATTGAACAATTTCCTAGTTTGTTTTTTTGTTTGTTTTAATGAAAAGTAAAAGCTATTGACCCAAAAAAACTGAACTTTGAGGTCATGATATGTTGACAAACAAAGGAGACAAGAGATTCATTTTCTAATGTCAAGTTTGATTCTTTTTTTTAAAATTTTTTTCCTTTATTAATTTTAAAGATAGAAACATCAATGAGAGAGAACATCAATTGGCCTCCTCCTGCATGCTCCCCACTAATGGGGATTGGGCCCACAACCTGGGCATGTGTCCTGACTGGGAATCGAACCAGTGACCTCTTGGTGCATGGGTTGATACTCAACCACTGAGTTATACATGCTGGACAAGCCTGATTCTTTTTATGACTTCAGATGATTTTTTTTTTTTTTTTAATTCCTGAGGATATGTTTTCACTGCTTTTAGAGAGAGAGAGAGAGAGAGAGAGAGAGAGAAAACATCAATGAGGTGCCTCCCACATGCATCCAACCAGGGATGGAACACAAAACCTAGGCATGTGTCCTTACTGGGAATCAAATCCACAACCCTTAGGTGTACGGGATGATGCTCCAACCAACTGAGCCACCCAGTTAGGGTGAATCTTTTTCTCTTGTAGGCCTCAGTTTTCCTGTCTATAAAATGGAAAGTATGCTCTGGTCGATGTGGCTCAGTTGGTTGGGTGTCCTCCAATGCACCAAAGGGTTGCTGGCTTGATTCCCCGTCAGGGCACATGCCCAGATTGTTTGCTTGTACCCTCGTGGGGGGTGCGCAGGAGGCAGCCAATCAATGTTCTGCTCTCACATCAATGTTTCTCCCTCTCTCACTCTCTCCCCAAAAATCAATAAAAATATTTTTTTAAAGGCAAGTTCAAAATCGTGAGAGCTTAGCCCCCTTCCAATTTCACTTTAGAAGGCCCATGGGGTGAGACAGCTCAGGGTGTGCATTCAGCATTGGAAGTGGAGGCAGAGCAGCTGGGAAGGACCAACTGTGAGAGGAGGAGTAAAAGCCCAGAGAGAGATTTTAACTTTGTTAAAAACTATTAGTTGAGCTGCAGCTATGTGCCAAGCACTGTGCAAAGCAGTGAGAACATCACATTGAACCAGATAGATATGGTGCTTATGGTGCCAGATCTTCCGTGATGGGTGTCAGCACAGAGGGAGCAAGGAGCCATCTGAGGGAAAGGAGAAAGTGGCAGGTTCTTTGTTTATGTGGGGTTTTTCCTCCTAAATTCAATTATTGCCCTGGTCAGTTTGGCTCAGCGGTTAGAGCGTTGGCCTGCGGTCCAGAGAGACACAGGTTTGGTTCCAGCTAAGGGCACGTACCTCAGTTGCAGTTTGTCCCCAGCCCTGGTTGGGTCGTGCGGGTGGCAACCACACGATGTGTCCCTTTCACATCAATGTTTCTCTGTCTCTCTCTCTCCCTTCCACTCTATCTGAACAAAAAATGGAAAAATTTCCTCTGGTGAGGATAAAATAAATTCAATTATTGTCTTCTTCACAGAGCCCTAACTCCCTCTCCCATGCAGTCAGCATTCTTCCAAATCAGAAGTAGAGGCTAGAAAGAACCTAGTCCTTCCCTTAATCATTCATTCACGCATTCGTTTTTCATTTATATGAGCATATACTTTCTGAGAATCTTCTACATCCAACAAATTCTACCAGGCACTGAGAACTCAGAGGTGAATTCAGTGTGGTTACCAGCCCTCAGATGTCCATGGTCTCGTGGGGAGATGTGTAGGACAATGCAGTGCAATATGCTAAGAGCTGTGATGGAGAGACCCACAGGCTGGTGAGGGTGCAGCAATCATGGGTGGTCCTTCTCCACCCCTCAGGTGATTCCAGATTCCTCCTTCCCCCACCTCTCTGCACTTCACCTATGCCTCTTGGATGCAACCCCTTATGCTGAATCAACAAGATCAGGCACAGACATCTGCAGTGAGAAAATAATGAGGGTACCAGAAGGTCACTGAAAATAGAAGGCAGTTATGTTGCTTCATGATTTAAAGTACTAAATGGTACATTTATTTCCATTAACTGCAATGGGATGGTGTTCTCATGAATGATAACAAAGGGATTTTCATGACATCACTTTGGCCCATCTGGTTATAGAACCTACTAGGTTTCCTGAGCACTGAATGTCTCTGGAACATTGAGAAATAAAGAATATTCTGTACTTTACCTTCCTAGCTCCCCTCTACCTGATCTTTTTTTTTAGTTATAAACAAAGTCCTTATCTTTTCAGTCGTTCAGTTAAGAAATGTTTACTGAGCCCTAGTGCAGGGCAGACCCTGTGCTTTTTACTGACATATACATGAGGAAGAAATGACCACTGATCTCAAACGGGGAAAATAATCAAAAAAATTAAATTTCATATGATTGGCGTTACATGAGAAATGAGACCAGCATACGTAGGTAGCACAAGAGAGGGACACACTACCAGCCTGGAGATTCTCTAAAAGATTCCTAGAAGAGAAAGCCAACTTGCATCAGAGGTTAAAGAAAAAAATCCTGGCTGGTCAAGTCGATGGGGTTGGAGGTGTCCAGGCAGAGTGTCCCCTGATGATACCGCCCCAGTGAACTGCCCGCGGAGCTCAGGAACTCAGCGTGCCACATGTGCTTTGGAGTCAGAGACATTTTATCCTCATTTTGTTCTGTCTCTTCACCTACTTTGAAGCATGATTATGAAGTTGAAATGAGAAAATACAGTAGATGGTGTGTTTCACACAGTATCTGACACGAGCAAGCTTCATAAACGTGTTGGGTGAAGGGAGGATCATGTGGGTATGTGAACATGTAGATCAGAGAGGAGCCCCGAGCATGTCTTTGTAGCACTGAAGGGTTACTGTGGCTAAAGTAATGAACTCTCCGGCTCCAGTGTGTGCCCAGAGATCCCCTCCCAACCCCTGTCACCAGCTCCGTGCTCTGGAAGCTTCAGCTAGTTGGACTTCATTTAAGAGCTGCCTCTCTGGCTTGCAGTTGGGTCAGTAATTGAAGGGCGTCAGAGGAGATCAGAGAGAAGGAAGAGGAAGGTCAGCTTCCCTCTCAGCTGCTGCATCCTTGGCAGAAGGTCGCGACTCCTGCAAGTGGTCCTGTCCATGCCATTTTCTGTATCTCCAGATTCTGTGAACCGCTCCCTCCTGTCACCTCTCACACACAAAGGTAAAAGCAGTCAGTTGTTAATAGCCCCACGATACCGCATTGTCCTTGTGGTTTCCATAAAACCTACCCAGACTTTTACAAATGAATTCTTTCTTTCATTCTCTAGTCACCCAGCTTGCGTACGCCATCAATTTCCTTCGGGGACCCTGACGGACACATACTCTGTAAGTCCTGCAAAGGAACTCCAAACAAATATGTGGACCTGGGGGTTCACTGAAGGTGGGGAAGAAGGGTTTTTGTTAGGTCCAGGGTAAGAAACTAAACAGCTGAGGACTCAGTGAGCGGTGGGGAGGCTCTGCTTTCGCTCTCTCTTCCCACACAAGTGGAGCAAATTGAGAACAGTGACCACATTTCATTCATCTTTTAATCTGTAGCCCTAGCTCAGAAACTGGGGTACAGAATACGTTCTCAATATACATGTGTTGAATAGGTTTCCACAGAATTACCACAAGATGGAAAGATGAGGGAGATAAGAAAAAATTCAATGATCTATCTATATTGCTGCTCTTCTCACACACACACACACACACACACACACACACACACACACGCTCACATTAAAATTATGACTCTTTTTAAATAATTCAAGAAACTGCCCTGGCCAGTTTGACTCAGCGGTTAGAGCATTGGCCTGTGGACCAAAGAGTCTCGGGTTTGATTTTGGTCAAGGGCACATACCTTGGTTATGGTTCGATCCCTGGCCCTGGTTGGGGTCATGCAGGAGGCAACCAATCGATGTCTCTGTCTCTCTCTCTCTCTCTCTCTCT